CATGTATGTATTTTAAATATATTTGGTGTGTCTATATATACACCCCAATATATAATATATATACACCCCATATATTATATATATTGGGGTGTATATATATTATATATATTGGGGTGTATCTCTATTTTGGGGGTATCTTTCCAGCCCCCAGGTGACACCTACGTGTGTGCAGGGGGGCAGCGGAGGAGGCAGAGCGGGAGGACCAGGACGCTGCTTGCCCAGCACAGGCAAAGCACAAATGGCTGCATCAGTCCAAGGCCCTGAGCACCAACACGGACAGGCCGGAACGGGAGCTCGAGAGCTCCGAGTCCTGCACGTGCCGGCTCCAAACGTTTAACTGCCGGCAGGACCAGACCCTCAGGTACTGCTAATGTAAGTCTCACTTCTAGTCTGTGGTTCTGGGAAAACATCCTGATTCAGCTCCTCTCATTAGCAAAATACATTACAGATCTGTAAATAAGCCTTACAACTGTGCAGTTGGCACTACAAATCGACCCCTGCTGTAATTAACGCCTTTGGTGCCGATGGAGATCGCGCAGCTGATGAGCTCCTCGCTCACACAGACACTGAAGTCCACCGAGAGGTGAGGGCATGCACGGAGAGGCAGAAATTTGGCCAAACACGTGAATGTTTTTCCTGCCCCTCTACCTTTGTCCCCGCCGTCACGCTGCACTCCCGTCAGAAGCAGTCAGACCTCCTCCTCCTCCACCACCATGTTCGGCCTCAGGGTATTCCTGCAAAAAACCCTGATTCTTCTGCACGTTACTGCGAGCGTTGTTGTTGGCAAAACACTGATGATACTGTTCCCCAGTGCCATGAAAAGATACATCCTAAAACAGGGCGAAAAGAGCAGAATGAATGAGAATCCAAAGTTCAACTATGAAAACTGGGGTCCGACTTTTTTCAGCTTCAAGTACCTGCTCTTTGTGCTGAAGGTGAAGTGGAAGAGGCTGGAGGATGAAGCCTATGAGGGACATCCCGCTCCCAACACACCGGTGGTGACTTTCAGCGGGGAAGTTCGTCACCTCGTTGATTTCATGCAAGGTCAGTAAATCAGCCGCATGGATGGGTTTGGTTTGCTAAGACAAGAAACGAGGAGAAGAGGCTGCTGAGGGGACAGAGACAGGCAGCTGGCACGAGAGGGCAGGACATGGCAGACCAGGCCATCAGCGTTCACTTGGTGATGCAGCACATTCACTCCAGCTGCCTCTTGATTTTCAGAAACATCCTGGCTACAATATTCCCTTCACACCAGTAAGCTTATGAACCTCTTGCAAAAGCCAGCTCTGCCTGGAAATACCTCTTCACTGAAAGCCAAGATCATTTATTTTAGGGAGAGAAGACCCAGAATGGGAGCCGCATGCAGTGACTCACGAGTGCTGGTGTCATTCCCTGTATGTACAGAGAGTCCCACGCCAGCTCCCTTACCCAGCCTAAAGCCTAGAAAGCACACGGTGGGTTTTTTTACCAGATTCAAAGTGGCTAGAAATAAAACAGAAGAAAAAGAAGTTGCTTTGTACTTTGTCCGTTGCCTCCCACTGAGATCTCTGTAGAACATGAATTAATCATTAAGCTGCAGTCTCTGTCCCCAGGGGAAGGATTACATCCTTCTCCGACTCTGCTTTTCTAATTTTATATATATATATATATATATATCTCCATGTAGAAAATAGGATGCAAATCTGGAAAAGAGATACTCAATACCTACAGGAAGGTACCCTCCTTATTAGATTCTTTACAATGTGGATCTGTTATAGAATCACAGACTGGTTTGGGTTGGAAGGGACCTTAAAGATCATCCAGTCCCAACCCCCCTGCCATCAGCAGGGACACCTTCCA